CCTATTTTCAACTTAGAAAAATTTTACAAAAAACTAATTTTTACCATACATTCTAAGTTAAATACCCTATTTTTAACTTAAAATAATTTTACAAAAATCAATTTTACTATACCTGCATTTAGATAATATTGAATATGATAAGCATTTTGAGAAAATGCAAAAATGGTCTTATAAATATGTTCTTCAGCTTTGAAGAGAAAATAGAGAATATTTATTTAGAGTATATTATGAAAGTTTATATTTATTATATAATTTATGTTTACCTGAAATTATTTTAAAAAGTGCTAAGACAAGGGTGGTTAAATTTCAATTTGAAAAACCTGATTTTGGTAATATTTGAATTATTCAATTTATAGAAATTTAAATTATATAATTTATTTGAAAGAAATAAATAAGAAGGTATCAATACTATAGATATGTATATTATAGACTTTTGATTGGTTTGGCTTAAGCCAAACCAATCTACTCCTTTGAGAAAAGCTCTCAAGTACTAATATAATATCTTCCATGAAATGGCACTAGCCATTTTCTAGAAGTATAGTATTATTATGTTAGTACTTAAGAGCTTATACCAATACTACTTATTAGATACAGAATACATGATAAACATAATATCTTAGAAAATAAACAGAAAAAAAAGTGTACTATCTCTAATATTTTAAATTTATTTAAAGAGTATTTTCCACTTTGGAGATAATACAAAACAATCAGAATTGCAGTTTTTTAATATAAAAGGAAAAATTGTGATTTTTTTTACTAGATTTTTTACAATTCTGGTAATACAGCCACTTTTTGAATTATGTTTTTAAATTAATTAATCTAAAACCATGTATAAAAAAATTTGTGAAATGCCAAATTTTAAAAAATTTTGAAAACCACGTAATTTTTGAAATTTTGAGTGTGGTGTTTATTATTCATTACCAATATGATGTTTGTCTTATCTTCTGGATCTAAAATCTTCTCTGTTAGCTTTTTTTCATAGATTTTCATGACGTATTCTGTGCCATCTTCTTTTTCTTGTTAAACAAATATAATTTATTGCATCATTATTGCCTTCATTTCTTAGATAGTTATATAAACATGCTGCATGAAATATATGATTATATTGATATGCTGAATATACACCATATAGATTGTTGATATTGAAATTACAATTGCATATAGGACATTTGTATTAAATATTTTGTTGTTAATTTTCTGGGTTTGCTTCTTGATCTTCTCTTATTCTTTCAGGCTGTCTTTGTATTTTTCTTGGTATTTGTCTTGGTACCTGTCTTATTGGTGGTTCTTCTTGTTGTATGTTTTGTATAATATTAGGGTAAAAGAGTGATTTTGGACCAAAATAACTACTTCAATCTAAATTCATACGAAGGAATAATTTATCGATTAATTTATTCTCAAAATTGTTTTGATTATCAATATAATTTGGTTTTACATATTTTATAAAAAATAAAAAAAAATATTAATAATGATAATGATTTTACTATTTTTTTATTTTGAGATTTATCTAGATTAATTTTATTATATATTTATATTTTATTTTATAAATTAATTAATAATATTAGTTTATAAATAAATTATTTAATAATTATATTACGGTATGAAAATGTTTTCAAAAAAACAATACAAGGTTAAACATGCTTTAGTTACCATTACTCTTTGTAAAGACTGTTCAGAAAGATTTAAATATAAAGAATCTTCTTGTAAAAGATGGATCTTTTTGTAAAAGATGTTAACAAATTCATGTTTGTTGTCAAAATTCATATCAAAAATGTTGTAAACATTATTAATGTAATGATTTAAAATGCTCAAATTGTATTAAAGCTGAAATTGAGTGTAAAAGAACAATGATCATGACACAGAAACAGTTTAAAATAGTAAATGAAAAAGGTGTTGAGTATTTTTTAAACAATTTGAAAGAGAGGAAACTGGATGGTTTCATGAACAATGCTATATTCAATTATCTTCTTGGATAAATTTTAAACGAATTAAAGAGATTTTTGAAAATATGAGTATAAAGATAATAAACAATTTTTATGGGGATGATAAAAGTGCTATCGATATGCGAAATTATTCAATAAAACAATATAAACAATGTTCAGTTCATAGAGAATATCGATGTGATTATTCTAATTTAGATATTCATTGTGAAAAATGTGATGATGCATGTCGAGAATTTTATGAATTGTTAATTGTGTGTGATAGTTTAGGAAATGAATTAACTTCAGAACAAAAAGATCCTTTTATTTTTGGAAAAGAAAATTTTAAAGAAAATATAAAACATGATAATATTTGAGTTGATGAAAAAGAAGGGAGTTTTGAAAAAGCTGTAAATGCTGTGTTTGAGCAACCAACTTCAGGTTGTAAATTTATTAATATTTTTAAACAAGATCCAAAAGTAACAAAATATATCACGCAACTTCATAAACTTTATTTGATAAAAAAAGAAGAAAAGGAGTAAAAAGAGAATGAAAAAGAATTATATTATAATTCATCATATGATTTAAATAATTTTTAGATTCTGAAAATAATATTTAAATAGATTAAAGAAAATTTGCTTACAAAAAAGAAATGATATAAAAGTATAATAATAATTGGCAATATGCGTTCTGGAAAAACTGCTTTATTCAGATCTTTGAAATTGTCTCAAATATATTTTTGTAAGTTAAGAGAATCAATACAATAGAATAATAATGTGAAATATGTATTACTTGATGATATTGATATTTTTTTTTTTTTTTAATTTTAAAAGATGAGGCCTTGCTCATATCTTTATTAAGTAATTTATATAAGTAAACATATA